TTTTGTGGACAATGAATATAAATTCTTACATATAGATACATATAGGTTCATAGAGTAAACTCAAATTCATGTTATATGATATAAACGCGTGATCGATGATCTATCTGTACTGCATGACAAGAAATGTTTTAGCCGCGGCTGTTGAGTTAGTACAGAAAGTAGTTCACCCAGAAAACAGCACAGAATACAATGAAAAGACAAGGAATGAGAAATCTTGTGGCATGGTCGATTTTCCTGGACAGACGCGCGACCGGCGGCGGGAGATGTTGTTGAGGAGGCGGTGGTGGACCGGGCTGGGCGCCGGGCAGCCGGAACCGGACAGTCCGCGCAGCTGGCGGGGGAGGGAGGTACTGCAGTAGGTAGTAAGGACGGCAGAACCGGGCCCGTGGGATGCGGACTTTTGGCTGCACAAGCTGCTTCTTCCATAAGTCCTGCACAAGAGAAAATTGACAGCATTCCTGCTGTTGTGCAGCACTAAGACCTGTTATGTAGCATCAAAAGGTGATCATGATATGTGTTTTACCAAACAATGGATATGGCATTGGGATTATAAACGCCATCAGACCTTTGACAGCCTCCTGTGGTGGATATAGTAGGCCACAGATGTCTCCAGTAGTCCACAGAACACCACCATCAAACAACCAGACATCCACACGTCTATGGCACGGGCATAGGAAATCTAACATGCATGGGGATTAATATCAATCAACGATATTATAAAGTACTATTAAAATGTTGCAAAGATTTTTGTCCACAAGATATGAAATACATCATATGTTATTTAATAGCAGCACAGAAACTGGTATGATTTGATTACTGTTATATGCTCGCATATTAGTTATTGATGCTGATAAATACAACTGGATGTGAATCTTACAAATTCCATTGGCTGCTTCAAGTCTGCTCCCATCACGATTGTCAGCAGGGCAGACGCGCCCAGGTAGACCCGCCCGATGACGGCGGGGATCTGGAACCCCCATCCAGGGGCTCATCCAGGACAGCACGACGACCATGAGGGTGGGCACGAACGTCCTGAACACGTACAGCCAGATCCGCCGGGAAAGGGCCACCCTGATCGTCAGGGTTGTGTATGTGTTGACCGCTGGAATAAAATTAGGCTATATATGTATACTATATAAGTCAAAACCGTCAACATAGCTATACAGACTTACATTATATTCGCAAAGTCAAAACCGTCAACATACACTCACGCGCAGGATTAAAACTGTCAACATCTACCCACACGTGTAATGTGTAAACAGTCACCATACCCTCACGCGCAGGATTAAAACTGTCAACATCTACCCACACGTGTAATGTGTAAACAGTCACCATACACACACGCGCAGGATTAAAACTGTCACCATACACTCACACCCTCAAGGTCAAAATCGTCCACACACGCTCACACGCTCAAGGTCAAAACCCGTCAACATACACTCGCGTGCGCAGTAAAGCCACCGTGACCATTTAAAAGCTCTTACTTGGACCAGGGTCCCCGCAGATGTCGATGTTATGACTACAGTCACCCACGTGTTTAGCACAATCCCCACACGTGGAACAGTTCATCAGAGCCGACAGCATGCAGTGTTCTACGTCATAGGCACATGTCTCACGGAAATACGGGCAGGCGACGTCTGTACATGGAGGAAGCACAGCATAAAATAATCAGTAGAATTTAAGAAAAAAATAAAAAACGTTTTCCCCGAACGTCGCGGCACGAAGACCGGTACCAAGAGTATGTTGGTCTACATTGCTCTGACAACACCTCTGACAACACCTATCAGGTAGATATAGAAAGTACTTCTTGCGTTCGTCAGATTTTTGTATTCACGCTGTAAGACATGTACATGTACGTCTGAACTACAGGTGCTATAAGCCTATCTATATGCGTGCAAAGGGTTTAACGCTCACCGTTGGTATCATTGGCAAAGAACGTGCTGTATGTAGACTCAATGGTTGTCCCCATCAGCCTGAACTGCGAGACAACGTTGCTGGCGTCAGACGAGATGGGTGCAAGTTTGCCTTGTGTTGATGGATTAAGTGAAAACCGCACCCCATTGTCTGTGATTTGACATAGAAAAATCATGCAGAAGGAACCTTACTTTCGATTGTTTGACAACTGATCAAATAGAAGATCGACAAAAATGTTCCGAATCGGAAGATCTTAGAATCAACCATATCTGCCTCAAATAACAAGGAAAACCAATCGAAAGCACAGCAAACTTACATGCGTGTAATTGAATTGGGCACTCCTGGTCATCAAATGGGTACTTGTGTAAATCCAGATTACACAGCGCCTTCAGCACCTTTCTGGAATTATATAAAACAAAAGGTTGATATACGTGAGCAAAGGCTAGAGAAATTTCATATCATTAGCAAAATCACAACTCTGGCAGAACACGTGTATCTCTAAAGGGGTTAAACGTTCCATACTTACGTCATTTGAAAGACAACGAAGCCTGAGGTGTGTAGCCACATCTTCAGTGATACGTCAACCTCGTCGATGACGCCGGAACTTCCCACTCTCGGCTTGGTGATCCCCTGAACTCTCCTGACCTTGTTACCGAACATCAGGGCAGGAGTCCAGAGGAGGGTGGGCGGGAGGGGCATCCAGCCGGACCGCACGGCAGCTGTCAGACGGTCATCAGCCCAGGCCAGATTGTACTCAACCGTCATGGATAGGTTCTGAAAAATGTTCTTCATCATGATATGCCTGTGATATCGGTAATCATGACTGAAAAAAGCCTAACATCCGGTGGAATTTAACATTTACCACATCTTGCCACCTCAGCTGAGCCGTCTCCGCGACAGTTGTCTCCGGTCGTGTTAGAGAGATTGTGTTCGAAGGTCTAATTAGTCCTGCCTATCATGCCTAGAACATTTCTAACCATTGGTGAGGACGTTGCCTTTTATGATATGCTGAACTGTGATATGTTTTTAATGTTTTCGAACGTGTTTTATTGAACCCAATTATTGACTTTAGATGTCGAATTGTTGGCCTAGTTCGAACAGACAAAATTCAGACCTTTGTCTGTTAGTTGTTTGAATAATTAGGATTGATTGAGATTGATTAAGATGACGTGATATCTATCCAATATTTAAACTTCGTAAAACATTGGGTAAACATCACAAAACAAAGGATTTCAAGACGTGCCCGAAGATGTACCATACCGCATTCTCCTCGGAAAGCCAGTCAACTCGTCTGATGTAGACACTTGTCGCGACGTCTATCCATGCACCTGACAAACGGTATACAAAGCTTCACTACACACTGATATCAATAATTATGTGGCAATATGGAAACAAAGACATCACATTAGAATAGATGTAAGACGAATAACCATCTCTTCTGCCTACTAACTGTTTGCTTACCAGAATTTACTTTTGACGCACAACGTCTTTCTGACCAAGCTATCATAGACAAACACAGAATACAGGATGTTTTTATTTGGTTGTTCACTTCTGTTTATTTGTTTGTTTACCGTCTTTCCGAGGACTCTCGTTCTTGTCGTATCCGGGAGGTAGGGCGTCGCCACTCCTCCACCTCAGGAAGTCTTCCCAGCTGGCGCTGTCCGTGACACCCACGGCGCCCGAGGCGAAGGCAGCCGCCATGTCCTGTGCTGACATGGGTGTAGTTGTGGGGGGAGGCGGCGTTGTTGTGGGCGGTGCTGTTGTTGTAGGAGGCGTATAACAAAAAGACGCCTCTTGTATTCTCCCTAGAAAGAAGTATTGATTGAACGAGATAATGGAAGGGATCGAATGCTGAACGCCAGTAAGGTTATGTTTTTAAAATATAGCCACCATGTCTGCACTGTCTCATTCCGGCTTTTCAACAGCCGCCATGCACCGTGTGATAGATAGAGTAAAGTTTGCCAATCGGTGACGATTACAACATGTGACTGACGGAACAGGCTGCAGACTGTCTACATGTACAAGGATGCAGCTGCAGGATGCTAAAGGGATGGATCATGGAGCATCATAGTCACAGTAATAGTCATAGTCATAGTCAAAGTCACAGTCATAGGTATAGCAAGGAGGTTGGTTATAGTCAAAGTCATTGTCATATAGCCACCGCTACGATAAAGTAACGTAATCAAGTAACAAGTACAGGTCACGGCGTTGATGGGTCTTACCGACACACTCGCAGATGAATTCCTCGGAGCCACCACAGTCTCTGTCCTCGTATCCGTCCCTCTTCTTTATTCTGACGCATTTCTTCGACCCGTCAGGCGGGTCTTTCCATTGTTCTGCTATGAATGGCTGTGAAGTATTATCGCAGAACTTAAACTCCCCACTCCCTCCATCCTGAAGCTGCAGGACATACCAAACAATCAACTGAGTTCATGATTAGAAATATACACAATGTTTATGTAAATTGAGCTGGTCGAGCTCGCTCAGCAGTTGCTTTGAGTTTCCATTATTCCAATATTCTATATGTAATCATGATGCATGATATTTATGAATTCTGTCGTTTTGTACATCCGACATGATCGCCTTTTGTCGTTAGGTACCGGCTAGATACATGCTGGCATCGACAAGGGTTTGTTTCTGTGGAGGTATATTCTCCAACTTTTATCGGAAAATTGTCCTCTTACCACAATTGACCGCGTATGAACCAATCTCATCCGATATCAGTCTTAATGACATGTATGTGTTTTACAGGACGACGTTGTTATAAACATGGCCAATAGAGACTGATTTCATATGCTGAAGATAGTGTATTGTGAAAACACAGACGGAAACAAAAAGAAACGTCCACGAGGGAAGCCAGTATACACGTACTACGTATTGGTGGCATTTTGAATTACTATTCTCCAGGCAACTACAAAATAGAAACACAATGGATGCCTTCCTGTCACTCTAGAAAGAAGGAACGTACCACGATTTGCTTAACCCCGATCCACACATCCTTGTCCATAACGTCGTCTGCTAACTCCATGAGCAGGTCGAACTCAGCAGGGTCGTTCGCCATGGCGAGGTGTCCTCCCTTAGACAGACACGTCTGCTCTGCTTCCGCGAAGGATTTTGATTCCTCCACAAGGAGGTACAGCGTTGTGGAGCCAAGATATGTGTCCCAGCCATCACTTTGCATGCAAGGTAGTTCTGTAAGGAATGGCAATGAACCAGAACCATGTCACCAATTCTCCATATACTATAGACACTATGTCATGTCATATCATCATCATCATATCATGCAACCATGCTAAGCGCTAACATATATCACATGATACTGACACTTGCGCCACTAAGCACATCACGGTACACGTGTCTATCTGGTTTTCTCTGATTGATTAGCTGGGAGACTTTATTTACGGATGTAGGGTGGAGTGACAATCCCTTTGTCTTGCTTCATACGACAACGCCCTTCGCACATGTATACCTGCCACGCTAAATTAGCCAACTTGGAATTATCTACACGCTACATTTACCAACCTGTAAACATCTACACCAGTAGATTCAGAACAGCCTTGGTGGGAGATGAGCGTCATTTTATCTAATCGATTTGAATAGGTTTAATTTGCTTAATTGGCATCGCGTATTTCTACCGAAAGCCATTGGAATTTCGCAGAGGAACATATGTCATGTCCAGTATTCTGACAAACGCAGCCACAGAAAATAGGATTGTTTTATATTATACTTAGCTACAATTCGTCCAACGTTCTGTAAAAGTTCAGATTCTATGGTTTTCTGTGAACTGGACAGGTATTTTTGGCAGGTTCCGTATATTTTGGCTCTCGTGACATAAAGATCACAGCTTCTATACAGACCTACGATGTTTTCCAAGAAACAACAGACTCCAGTTTTTGTAGATGTATGCGACCCAAAGGGTGCGTGGGTATCTCCATTCTTGAGAACGGTCTTTACCTACCAGATACATGGGAGTAGCAACGTAACATACATGCACTACCGGTAGATCCCTCTGCCTCCATTAGACACACGTTATTACATTGAAAAGAAACGAATGGATATAAAGATGGCGCTTACCCATCACAGCCGGTGTTGTAATAATACTAATATTTCGGCCAAGTACTGTCCCGCATAGAAAGTAGCAAAACAGCCCTTGAAGAATCAGCAACAGATACATTTTGTCTTCCTGCCTTGAATACAGCACCTTCTGACGCCTGGTCGTAAATAATAGATGAGTGTAATTTAGGGTGTGGTGTTCCCATTGTCCCTTTGCTTCAGAATGACCGACCAAAACATTAAATATACGCTAGATTAACCCTTATGACTGAGTATAACTTGACATTAGATAAGCACAACTCTACCTGGATATATGCGTTTGGTCTAATACATCTTGATACCATTACAACTACTTGCCCATATGGAAAGCTATTGGAAAATACTACGTGCGTTCACATTACACCTAAATCAGCAAGTACCCCATTCTCTCGTCACTTTGTTCGTCTGGCAAATGGCCATTGAAAAAAAAAGAAGTATGATTCAGCTGTGGCTTGCATTTTTGACATGCGTCCATTCCCTGGGGATAAGATTGATATGAATAAATGGTCCCACCATAAATACACCGTTGGAGAGTGAATACTTTTTTTTGACATCAAATAATACAAAAGAATACGCCAAAAAGCAGTTACTCAAGCAACTGGATATGATTTTGAAAACGTCAGACGTTTCAGCTAGTATCCACTAGCTTTCGTCAGTGACTGAGAGACCAGAGGGGAAAACAGGTTTATAAGCACAACAATTATGTTATATTTACAAAAGTAATAAGATATTGTACTTTGACAGTCCTGGCAACTCCTAGTTTGCAAGACTTTCATTTCATATGCCAAGATTAACTTACATGGACCTGGCCTATATGAATGAGCACGTGGTGACCGATGTGTGGATAGAGCTTAGCAACATTTAATGAAAGAACGTCGACGTCAGTCAGAACATGTGAGCAATATGCCAAATATAAATCATTTCAGACTAGTGTATGTATGTGAGACATTCCAGGTTTCTGATATATAATTTTGACATTACACATTCTACAAAGCACAGAATACAAAATAGCTTTTACCTACAAAACATCTTGTGAAGAAAGACACAAATGCTATTAGTAAAAAGCATAATATACACTGCAACACATACATCGAAAGTAGACAAAGTATACACATAAATATATATAGTTTATCATAGTCACTATATTAAAGTTGGCAGTATGCTGAAATGATTTTCTTCAACTCTCTGGTCTCACAATTTACACTCGTACTCTGTAACACAATACTCACATTCCAACAAAATACTCAAGGTAACTTGGACTTCTGACCAATGATTGCTCTTAACTGTGAGACTTAAAGGACACATACATGTATCAGTTGTCTCATAGTAGTCCACATTTAAGCAGGTTTGTAACCACATTGTACAGGTAAACATCTGTACAGATACATCAGAAAAGTGTTCCTAATGTTGAACCCTTGCAGGGGAACAGTACCAGTGACAATGCCAGGGTATACAACACATTATTGTAAGTTGTATTTAGAAGTGTACAGAACTGCATTACAGTCTTGGTCTTAACATGGGTTGATTATTATACAACTTAAAACCTTAAGCTATCTAAAATGAACTCTATCAGGTAGACTTTAGGACAGCCAGGCCTCTTGATTCTGTCTCCTGATATGCAATATGATACTAACAAAAGGTGTACATGTACAATGTAGCTGACAACTAGACTCCACAACTGCTGATTGGCAACACTGGGCTGTAACTACAGGTAGCTTACAATTACATTTTGGTCCATTTTCAGACAAAGTAGACACCATTTCATTTGCTTTCTGATGCATCTGCTGATGACCCCAAATCTTACACATTTTCAATTCAGATAGTTAGCATCTGATTGAATGACAGATAAAGCCACATATCAAACAACATTCATGAAAATGATCTGTTCTCATGAAGGAGTCTTTGACGACAACAATACTCTTGAGAAGTTACATGTGTACATGGTGTTAACTCTATATAAACAAGCACAAATATATTTAATGTATATCATAAGGAAGTAACTTGTTACTTTCACAGTGAAGCCTAACCTACATACCAAATGGAGAAGCAGTTGGGTCAAATGTCTTGAAAACATCCTTAAGGGACTCGTCTTTTGACTGATTAGGGCGGTTGGGAGCTGGTCCTTGTGGGTTGTTAGGTGCCTTTGCACTACCGTACATGGAGATAACAGGTGTGGGAATATTTGTGGATGGCGCACTACTGGCCATGGATGCCATAGGACCTGACGTTGTTACAGTTGGAACGGCGGGTCTGGGGCGGGGACGGTTATATGCATTATACTTGGCAGTGTTATCTCCTGGTGCTCCTGTACTACCTACATGTTGTCCTCTGTCCAACCCTTGCCGTGTCATGCGGACCTGACTCTCTCCCGTGTTAGCTGCCTTTGGGATGACAAATTTCCGTTGAGAAGTACCGCCACTTGCTGCAGGTCCACTACTGCTTGTTTTGTTCATTGCTCTTGGATCATATGGAGGTAAGCTTGGAGGGCTACTTGTTGCTTTGGCTCCTGACTTCAAACTACCAGACAACAGTCTGGGATCATAGGGGGCTAATTTGGTTGGTTCAGACTTTTCTGAAGCCTTCTCTGTGGAAGCTTTAACTGTAGGCTCTCCAGTTTGTTCGGGTGGAAGTCTTCCTTGCCGTGCTAAGCGGGGATCCTGTCCCTTCTCCCGTGACACCTGTCTCTGCAGCCGGGGGTCGGGTGCCCCCTGCAGACGTGCCAGCCGGGGATCCATCGCCTTGTTGGTTGAAGGCTGTGCAGGAAGGGATCCTTTTCTCTGGAGACGAGGGTCTCCAGCAGGTTTCTGTAAGGGTTGTGGGTCACTGCCTTGACGTGCAAGCCGCGGGTCAGACCGGGCCAACTGTGCAGCTTGACCACCTAAAAACTGGGGACGGTTCTGACTGATGCTAAACTGTCTCATAGACTGGTTGCCAGGGAACGGAACTCTGCCTTGGTTGTCAGGGCCCTGTCCAGTACCCTGTATGCCAGGAAATCGAGCCCCACCTTGACTGCCAGGAAATGGACCTCCACCTTGACTCCCAGGAAATCGAGCCCCGCCCTGACTGGCAGTGGCCTGTCCTGCAGCTTGGTTGCCAGGAAACTGAGTCTGACCTTGATGTCCAGGGAACCGTTCTCTCCCCTCGTTCCCTTGTAACGGTGCCCCACTCTGGTTACCTGGGAAAGTCTGACCTGCTGGCGGGTGTGGTCCTCCTTGGTTGCCAGGAAACTGAGGTGGACTGTGATTGGGCCCTTGCTGTCTCAGACCTTGCCTGCCAAAGGCATGCTCCATTCTTGGACCTCTATGAGGTCCTATATCCTCTTCAACTCTATGGTTTGGCATAGGATGATGGCTTTGTTCCATCTGGTCGGGACCCTGCTGGTTACCCCCTCGTGCTCTGGGGTCCTGTGGCTTCCCTGCTTGCCCATTCTGTAGCCTTGGGTCAGACTGGCTGCGCACAAGCCTGGGGTCGGACTGCATTGTCCGGCTCATTCTGGAGTCGGGCTGACCACCCGACTGACCATATCGAGCCAGCTGTTCCAGCACCACCTGTCGTGGCTGAAGGTGATTCATGTTGGTCAGTCGAGGGTCCACCTGGTGAGACTGAGGCTCCAGCGGAATGATGGCCGGTTGGGACAGGAGCCGGTGACCACCACCTGGTGTGGTGGGGGTCATTGGAGTGGTGGGCTCATCAGGCTCCTCAAAATCTGCAATGACATAAGGAAGCCCGATCAACATGCTAAACAGTACACTTTCAAACTAATCTATTGATCATTCAACCAGTCTGTATCATCTTTTTAGACTTCAAGCCCTGTTGGTCTTCAAACCCTGTTGGCCCATAACCCACCTATCTACACTTTATTCAAAAATTTGAAAAGTTGGAACCTCTCCCACCTTCATCTCTTGACAGACTTCTGGGGTCCAACATTTTGTTATTTGCTTGTGGCTGCAGTCTGGGGTCGGTTGACCGGGTGCCCTGGGAGCGTGGATCCTGCAGCTGGGCACGTGGATCCCTCGCCCTTCTGGGGTCTGATGGCCAGGCCTGTCCAGCTGGATTTGGTACCTATTACATGTCATCAGAATCCACAGAGTAAAAAATACAACCATTTAATGTCAAGGTGCATCGTTGCTGACAGCATTTCCTACGTACAGTAACTAAATCCAGTCATAACTCATGCCTCAAAAATGGCTATTGAAAGAATTTGGACTCATCAAGAAAGAATAAGATTTACTTCCACAAGCTCAGAATGCAAGAAAATCCCTTAAAACTACACATGTACAAAATGTAGCACAAACAGGAAATGTACCTGTGACTCGGGGGCCTGTGCTGCCCTGGGCCAGTTGTGTGATGGTGGCCCCTGTGGTACACCCTGCAGCCTGGCACGTGGGTCAGCAGGCCAATTTTCTGGCAGTGGCTGAAGCTGGGGTATATCATTGTTCTGTGCAAGCTCCTGCTTGTCTTCTCCCCATACACTGCGTGGCCTCAAGCCCCCACCAGCTGACGGCCAGTTACCACCTAAAGCAGTGAAAGCAAATTGTTTAGAACTTATTCCATAGAATTCTATATGTACAATCAACGGATAGCTGGCTTTCAAATATTTATTCATTATCACTTCACACATACCAGACAACAATCAATAATCAGTGGCTATTTTTCACAAATTTTGGTTGGGCCAGCACATTTACAATCCATTTAAAACTAAATACCAATAGTAAAGTACAAATAACAATAGTAAAGTACAAATAAAAGAGAGAATATTCAGCTCACCCGAGTTTGAAGTTGGCTGTGAGCTTGCCTGCTCACGGAGAGTACGGAGGATGTTGGTAAGTGGTTGACTTGTCTCATCTCCCTCCCGGTCATCCTCCTCATCTTCCTCACTGGAGTACCAGTTCTCTTCTTGTTTCTCTTCTGTAAGGAAGCAACACTCTTCTCAACAAGCTGTGACTTGTGGCCTGTGGTACTTTCTTTGCCCAAAAATTTCAAGTCAAATAACTCTACATAAAATTTCAAGTCAAACACATAACTCTTCATAAAATTCCCATTAAAATTATCTAATAGGTTTGATCTTAAGGTTACACTCACTTTGTCAGAGCATTAATTCTTAACCCTTTTTCAGTTGAACATTTTAAAGTATGGATCAACATAAAACAGCTTAAGAAATACAACCTATAGAACTTCATCAAGGCACATCATGCAACCTCATGTTACCTTTTTTACTCTCCTCAGACTTGCCCTCCTTGTCCAAAGACTCCTGGTGCTGTTTCTGCTGAATGCGGAGGAAGAGTGCCCGCTGTCTGTGTGGCATGTGGCTCAGGTCCGGGCCGCCAGCAACTTCCAACCTTCAAACAAAAAAACATACAGATTCATTTATCATGACTTGCAGATCAGGGCTTATGGATCAAAACAGTTTCTGCATATTACCTGCACTGGTAACCTTGAAAAGCACCTGCACCATACAAATTTTACTTGCACCACTTCGACTTTAGCAAGTATGGAGCACACTAAAAAGTGTTTAGAATCCATTGCTATAATTTCTTACTTTTTGCCTTCAGTGTCACTTTCACTTTCCTTTGCAGATGACTCCTCTGGTGCAGTTTCTGTTGTCTCCCCGCCTTTATCCTCCTCTTCTGCTTTCTTGGTTTCCTCCACAACTGGGTGACTTTGTTCCAGCTCTGGTGGCTCATGTTGCTCCATCCCCTCTGTTAGCACACCAAGAATATCATCATTCATTTGGGACTACATAATTCGTATAGCATTTTCCATAAATTTAAAAGCTCCTACAATTTTTCACTCAAAAAATTCATGCCCAAAACCAAAATTATACTCCCTTCACCTCATATAGATGTATACCACCAATTTCCTTCAATTTTGTTCTGAAGCTAATGGTTTTTATGTTTTTTTATTGTGTGGCTGTTACATATATTTACATTTACATGTACACCCACCTTCTCTCTCTGACTCCTCTTTATTTGCATCCTCTATGAGTTAAGCATGTCAGAGAGGCAACAACATCAAATCAGGAGGTATGCATTGGGTCTCAAATGACTACATCTCTTGGGCCACACAAAGCTTGGTGAATGTAGTACCAAACTTTGTGCCACCGTATACAATGATAATACAATCACCTTTACCCACTTATCTGGTCCAACAAAGACAAATTTTCATGCAAAGTACCTCCTGTTCTTCAGTACCATCTACAATACAACATGCAAACATTCACAATTATAGAAAAGGCTACTTGTTAGATGCATGCAAGAAGTTTGCCAGCTATATAAGCCTGGGAAGGTGCTGTGCCATGATAAAACTTGTATCTTAGATAGATAAAAAAGACACCTAACAATTTCCTTATTCCTTGTAAATTGTTGTATAAATCACTAATGGGAGCAACAGAGAAAATTAAGAGTTAACAGTATGAACTGATCACGCTCAAATGAACATCACATATACCTTTTGCATGATCACTAGCTTCTTCTGTCTCAACTTTCCCATCATCAGCTGGTTAAAGTGAAGTGGAAATGGCAGTGGTAAGCATATTGACAATGTTACAGTCGTGGCAGAACAATCAATGCCATTGCATTCATTATGTTGTTCACAGAGCAATCACTGTTAGTCAAGCAATGACAGGAGGTAAAGAAATGATGGTAGTCAACACTTTCGCCATAATCCTTTGCTGACCTCTGACCTCATATCCCAAACCTGGGTGCCTCCAAGGTACTAGACCTTGGAGGCACCCAGCAGCCATATTGAATTGACCCA